GCTTGCTGTCCCCCAGTTCTCTTCTCCTACTGGAGGAACCAGAGGTTCAGGGGAGACCTCACCCATGGTGCTCCACTGGCCTGGGGGAGGGGCAACGTGGTCAACGCGTAGCTCCTTCTCTCACCCTTCTAATGCAGTCTGTCTTGGTCTCTGTGKTGCACGGGGGTGCTTCAGCCTCACCTCCATGTTCTAGGATCCTCTCAAATAGTGTCCTGTTTCCAAATAATTGTTCGTTGTTCCTCCTTGGGGGGGGGTGTGGAGCCAGGAATGACCTTGGTGATGTCASCCCACTCTGGGCTTACTTTGACAATATGTGTGTCCTTTATAGCCCAGACATTTCTGGTACTTGAAATGAGGTTCTCCTTTTATTGTTCTCCCTGCTTTAGGACCTAAAATGGGAGCTCTTCATTAGCACTGGCACAAAGGCTGCTGAGATGACTAGGAAGCAAGTGCCAAGGAGAATAGTGAATCAAAGAACCTTGATTCTTGGAAAAGGAATCCCAGAAGGAGCTCTAAACGTTACACATTCCAAATGATTTATTCAGGGTTTTCCAATCAAAACCATTTTTACAAAAAAGAAACAGTTCTCAGACTTAGAGTACTATAGTGCCAAGTATGTAGAAGAACATTGCCAGCAGTTGAGTGGTGTGGTCTACTTTGAAATATATTCAGTTTTCTTAGGATGGACATACGTCTACTTCAAAGTTACTATTTCTTTCTAGTAATGCTGTCTACAGTAATATATTTGCTTTTGCCAAGTTAAGAAAACAATGACATCCCTCCCAGGTTCTAAAACAATTACCGGCATAAAAATACATTAAAATTTTTAGCTGATACTTAAGGAAACCAGTACTAGCTAGCGTTCCTACTGATGCTAGTATTCAAAGAGAGGCATGACAAAACTATTAATCTAGAAAAAACTGGGTTGGAAAGATGGAGAGAAAGAACTCAAGAGGACAACTTAAGCTGTTGATTTCTTTACACGTCCCCAAATATGATAATAACCATATAAGCTCCTAAAATAAGTGCAATTTTATGCAAGCTTCATAATACGCCTAGCATGAGGTAATTTTTTACTTTATTTTATAGTATATTTTTATTTTGGTAAAATGCCCCATAACGTAAAATTTACCATTTTATCCATTTTAAGTGTATCATTTATTGGTATTAAGTCCATTCACAATGCTGAGCAGCCATTGCCATTATCCATGTTAAGACCTTTCTTAGTATCCCAAGCAGAAACTACTCACTAAACAATAAGCCCTTATTTCTCCCCTCCCCTTAGCCCCTGGTTCACTCTGTTCTATTTTCTGGGTTTATAATTTGCCTCTTCTAACTACCTCATATAAGTGGAATCATACAATATTTGTCCTTTTGTGTCTGGCTTCTTTCACTTAACATAATGTTTTCAAGGTCCATCCATGTTATAGCATGTATCAGCATTTCATTCCTTTGTAAAGCCATACAATGTATAGTGATTTTTAGTTGCAAAACACTTTTAGTACATTGTGTTTCTATTATATTAATGATATCTAGCATATATCACTACCATATTACCTTTAGTAGATGCCCAGTAATGTGTACTATGAGTGAGCCATAATTTCAATTCAGCCAAAACCCACTGATAAACAGTTATTAAGTTCCAAACAGTTTTATGATTTCAAAAAATGTGGTAATGGACATAGAGGTTCATGTCTTTATGTGCTGGAGCTTTTACTTTTGATGGAAGAATTCTTGGAGTGGCATGGAATGGTATTGTTGGGTCAGAGATTATGCAGAAACATTTATAATTTGAATACATACATTGACTATAAAAACCATAAACTTCTTCAACAGATAGTATTCCTGTATTTTATGTAACCATTTATGACAATCTTAAAAATGAATGCAAGTAATATAAGGGAATCTATTTAATGTGATTTGAGCAAGGAAACATTCTCACTTTTTTCATTTCTAGTTCATGAAAGAAAATTCCTATACACAAGTATTGAAATATTTCAAGTCTCTGGATTACACATTTCATCATTTCAAAAATATTACAGAGTACATCACGGATGTCAGTCAAGTCTTGTAACAACAGTGTAGAAAACTAGTAACATTTATAGCTAGTTTTTTTTAAGATTCAGCAATGGATCATTTCTATCCAGCCTAATCTGAAATTTTAATTAAATTAATTTTTAAAATAAAAAAGATTAATTTTTAATCTAAAACTATTTTTAGTTCATATTTATGTACCTGCATTATGGTAAATATTTTATTTTGTTGTTTTTTTTAATCTTAGTTTCTCTTTAGAGTATCTTTTAAAATTTATTTTGAAACAGAATAATTAAAGCCCAAAGATTAAAATGTCTCATTTAAGCTAAACTAAAGAATGTTGGAATAGCTGAAGTATGAACACAATTGGCAAAACTTTTCACTACCCTCCTTAGAAGAAGACTGTTTTGATTTGCATGGTCCAAGAAAGGAGAAACAGATAACTTGCTGGGGATTGCATCCTGCTTTACTTAAATTAGACATTAACAGGCTAAAAGGGCAAGGATGAAGCAACATGTTTATAACATAGTTTTGAAAAGCTACTTAAAGGTGAAGGGTTACAAGAACACAGACAGACACACCCTAGACCTTCCACAACAATATTTTAAGGTATGCCTTTTCTTTGGTTGATAGGGATGGAGGGACCTATTAATAAACATTTCTCCTATTTACTTTTGTCTTTATTGCTGTCTAATCAAACTCTCATTAAAAAACAGACATAAAACAAATAAGCATTCTGACTTTTGCCTGAATAAGCAGCAACAAGCTCACATCTTAAACAATGGACTGCAATGGCTATGAGACTGAGGATCCTTTGTCATTGCAACAGTAGCAGCAACACAACCTGCTTTGTTCCTTCTGTTGTATACTGCAGAATCTGAGTAAATAGAGAGAAGTCAATGATACCTTTAGTGCCATTTCTTACACTCCTCTCCATGATCTTTCACACTCAGGTTCTCTGGTAATCTCAATGTAGTGAAAAACAACCAGGATGCTAATACCCTCTATCCATTCACAAAACTTAATGCTTCTGAGACTTGCAGAAATAATGTTGAATCTGAATTGGTGGTACCCAATAGAGTCACTAAGAATAATCTGTCAGACTCACCAAATCCAAATTCAGATTTAAAGTCCATCAAATTTTAAAGATTATGAAGATTTTAAGATTTCAATATTTGTTATATATGGTCATATGTAAAACTTTAGAAAAGTAAAATTATATTTATAGGTTTTTAATTATAAGCTATATTTACTGGAGAATTAATGCATTTTTAAAAGGATTCATTCTGAAAAGATTACATTAGCACTTTTTTTAAACCACTACCCTCAAAAATAAATTGTGACAAATCATTGTTCATCCAAGTTTATCTCTCATCTCAAGGAAGTGAGTTGTTCTTAGGGAAATTGCTTTCATCTAATTTGTGCTTTCCTGCAGTGGATCAAGCTGAAATGAAATGGGGCTGACATTCTTAACTATTATTACGCGCCCACATTTACCAGAATTACCTAATGAAGATTTTTATAATAAATAAATATGTATGTACTGAGAGTCTCCACTGATAAAAGTTAGTTGAGAAATGGCTGGTGATCCTGTAGAAGAGATATCTAGATTATATTTCTTACATCATCTCCATATTAGAAAGCAATCCAGGATTGCAAAGCAAGGCATGAGACGGTAGCATTTGGTGTATTTTATAAATGTTTAGATTTCTAGGGAGCTTATTGGTATCATATATTATGGTAAGCACTCAAATGTAAACTGTTACTTTAAAATAGAAAAATATCAAGAACATAAAAATTTCTGCAACTTAAATGGTCAGTTTGGTATTTGGCTTTATTATAGGCATTTGCAAGATATTTATTAAACAACCAAATGAACCAATACCATTTAATTTTGAAAACTGCCTTTCTAATACAAAAGAATTGGTATTCTACACAAGTTCCTTGTGATTATTTTTGTAGGTGTGGTGGGAATGAATTATGGATGGCACTACCCTTTCTTGTCTGAGGTTTTGGTAAGGTGGAAATTAGAGGTGACGGACCTTAAAGTTTGAGCAGTTCAAGACACTCAACCAGTAAGTCAGAAAGAGAAAGACAAATACCGTATGCTAACACATATATATGGAATCTAAGAAAAAAAAAAAATGTCATGAAGAACCTAGGGGTAAGACGGGAATAAAGACCTATTAGAGAATGGACTTGAGGATATGGGGAGGGGGTAGGGTAAGCCGTGACAAAATGAGAGAGTGGTATGGACATATATACACTACCAAACGTAAAATAGATAGCTAGTGGGAAGCAGCCGCATAGCACAGGGAGATCAGCTCAGTGCTTTGTGACCACTTAGAGGGGTGGGATAGGGAGACGCAAGAGGGAAGAGATATGGGAACATATGTATATGTATAACTGATTCACTTTGTTATAAAGCAGAAACTAACACACCGTTTTAAATAAAAAATAAATAAATAAATAAAATAAAAAAGAAATTTTGGCAATTAAAAAAAAAAAAAAGACACTCACCAAGCACAGTCCATTTACCCAGGACAAGAAAACATATAACATTACTCTTCTTTTTTCAACCACAATGGATTTGAACTTTTAGAAAATTGAAAATGCAAGATACAGATTTCATTTAATTTTTAAAGTAATTTATTTATTTATTTATTTCTGGCTGCGTTGGTTCTTTGTTGCTGTGCATGGGCTTTGTCTAGTTGCAGGGAGCGGGGGCTACTCTTCGTTGTGGCGCGCGGACTTCTCATTGCAGTGGCTTCCCTTTTTGCAGAGCACAGGCTCTAGGGCACACCGGCTTCAGTTGTTGCGGCACAGGGGCTCAGTAGTTGTGGCTCGCGGGCTGTAGAGTGCAGGCTCAGTAGTTGTGGCGCATGGGCTTAGTTGTTTTGCGGCATGTGGGATCTTCCCAGACCAGGGTTCAAACTCGTGTCTCCTGCATTGGCAGGCGGATTCTTAACCACTGCACCACCAGGGAAGCCCAAGATACAGATTTTAATAAGAAAATATTAGTCAACAGTTCTCTTATCTCTATGTCTTTTTCTATCTCATTGATTGTGAAGAATACAATCATAGAGAAAGCAAACTCTACATCAGCTGAAAATTTTTTCCACCTGCTTGCATGTTATAGTGGATGTGTAACATCTTCACACAGTTTGTGAAATCACTATTTCACCACAAAAATTAAATATGACACTAAAATGATCTGACACTAATTAGTCCATTGAATAAGGGGAGGAGGATTGGCATCTTGGTCATCGTTTAGAAGAAAAAAAAATCATTAACCTGTTAGGCAAAATACTTGTCTTTAAATTATCCCTTAATAAATATAATAGAAAATTAAACAAAATGGCAGTACAGTGTTATGAAAGGAAAGCAATTGGGTTGATCTCAAAATGAGTGAGTATAAAAATCAATGTTTTTTGTTTAGTTTGTTAATAATTTTATTCTTAGAGCTCTCAGGCAGCTAGCTTTTGGTCATTTTTAAGATCAATCAAAAAATTCTAAACATTATTTTTAAGGTATGCAGATCACTAGGCCCTCCCCACCTCCTTTCTCTCTTTCTTTTAATTTTTAAATTTATTTTGGGGAGTTTTGGCTACCATTTATGTTCTAATCATGTTTTTCAGGAAGTGAATTTGAACTTTGAACCTCACCTAGATTGAATCCTACCTCTATTGTTTTCTATCTCTATGACTTAGGGTAAGTTACTTAACCACTGTGAATCGTTTCTGGATATTTAAAACAGGAAAATCACAGGGTTGTTGTGAAGATTAAAGAAGATAAAATAAAAGGGAACTTACTGCAGTGTTTGAGACATAGTAAGGGTTAGTAAATATTTCCAATTGTTATCTTTCTAATTCTCGTGAGCAGTTTACAATGAGATCTCATTACCACAGATTTTCCCTAAAATTATGAACCTTTTCCTACCCCTCTCCATTTTAAACCAAACCTTGAAATGACTGAACCTCATAGGAAGACATCTCAATGCAGATAATCCCAGTAGCAGGAGAGGTTGAAGCTACCACAATGCAAAGTTGTCAGGCTCTGATCTGGCAGTAGCTGTGGGAATTAGTCTTAGCTTCTGTTTTTAACTCTGCAAGGAGTTGATTGGATGACCTGGGAAAACTCAGTTGGCATCTTATTTTCTTTCTGAATTGTACCATTTGTCTAATCACTCTTTTCACTGACTCATTATCAGAAATGATATCAAGGTTGTTGAATAAGGGTGTTGATTTCAGAAGTAATGTTATAGAAAATGGGAATTGTTCCCTTTCTTAAAAGCAGTAGTTGACAATTTTATTTTTTTTCTGATACAGTGTTGAAGTTCCTGGGAGAGGGCAACTTTAATTTATAAAGGGTTGTTAACATTCACTTCCTCTAACAAAAGCCTTTAAAGTAATACTACTAATTATCTGCCTTGCACCCCAATCTTTTTTTTTTAATATGTAACTGTTGAAGTATTTTAATGTTAATCAATATCATTAAGTTGTCCAAAAAGGAAAATTAATCTGTTACTCCATTGTACATCATATACAAAGGAATCTTCTTGGTATATATCTTTCTATTTTACTGAATCTCAATTAATTTAGAGAATACATGTAAGAATTTTAATATTCAGAGTCTTATTCATAAATGTGCACTACTGAGTAGATACAATCACTAGCAACACCTTTAAACTGAAATCAAAAATAGAGCCTCAATTAACGTGAAAACTTTAGTACCAGAAACACCTGCCTATAAAAACTGCACTGTTAGTACACAGACGAGCTTTAGTATGATAACAATTTTGTTGGGCTTAAAAAGCACATAATTTTACTTTTTTTTCTTATTTGACTTTTTATCATTATGTGGACCATTTAGGTCTAAGGAAACAAGTACAAAAACTGCCTAAAGCCTTCCATTTAATATGTAAGCCATAGTTGTCCACAAGAGAGAATTTTGTGGTGATCAACAACTCTAGCCAAGTCAGCAATAATTTATTTCATTTGGTAGAGTCTAATCATGTGTACCTAACTATGCACTTTTCAGTAAAAAGTGTAAAACATTTTTAGTGGTAAGTTTGTCCTGAATTTCCAAATCAATATTTTTAATCCCTGTTTGAATACTGAATTCATTAGCTATTCACCAAAGGCTTGAGGCATAGATTTTGGGCATAATCCGCTTCTAAGATGAGACATAGCAAACAGTCTAAATTCCTGTTTTAAATATACATGTGCATACACGTATA